AGTGATGCGATATATTCTAAAGCTCATTAAACAAATTTCGAAACCCTAAAACATCTGCAAACAATTTTACAAACGCACACAAATGCATCGACAATCAACTAAACGACCTATCATCTGAACGAAGACAAAATCCGAAAACTGACCAAAGTGTCATAACACATCTGTTATTAACAACCCAAAAAAATACATCTTACGATGGACACGCAGTCATCACGAACTAAAACACCAAAACTGGATTCTAGCCTCCTAACCTAACTTAGAGTAAGCTCTTTTCCACAAGTCAAACATGAAAATAAAAGTAAATGAATAATAGACATCCCAACATATTTGTTGGGATGTCCTCAATAGTTCACATGCAAGCGGATGGAAACTGCGTATTCAGAATACCTACGCAGTTGTTCACCAATTAAATGAATTATTGTATACTATCTTTGACCACCACGCAATAAGATGAGACCTAGCCCGTTATGTAGACGAGAACCAGGAGAATCAAGTTTTAAAAGAAGCAACTTTAATTAACCTTAATTACAGTGAAGATGATGAAAAAGTCCTACGCCATATGTACGTTATGCAACAATACTAAGACGGACAGTGGAGAGGGACGAATATTTTAATAGCGGCCGCCAAATTCTACCACATATAAATGTCAATGTATACCAACTAAACAACACTTCAGCACCTTCAGTAACTTTCACTCCAAAAACCGACGATGCAGTGGGTAGCATCAACCTTACCTTTAATGAAAACCACTACTATAGTCTTGTAATAAGTCGGATCTCCGAGTACTCCACAAAACCACAGAAGAACAGCCGGATGACACAAAATACAGACTCATCCAAACTACAGCCCCTTAGAAACAAACTGTCTCGTTACAAAATATAAAAATAGCTACCTGGAATGAATAGTGAGGTGCAGCTACGCCAAGAAAAAAAGCAAACATAGATGTCAAATTAGAAAACATAGGAATTCATATAAGGTCAGGTGGGGTAAGAGGAACACCGGGAGAAGAGGGACAAAAGTCCATAATACCTTAATAAAGCGTTTAGCACTATAGTCTCTCAGTCGATATAACATACAAACAAATTCGTTTTAACGGTAGTAAAGAGATGTCGCTACGATGTGCAAATTTGAGAGAGTGAGAGAAAACATATTATATATATTATGTGTTTTCAAAATATGCATGTATACATATATGTATACATACATACTTTACATAACACGTATATATATATATATATATATATATATATATATATATATATATATATACATATACATATACATATATATATACATATATATAAATAAATTACTATCAAATACTATTAATGACTTCGTCCACATGATATTAATTTCTGACGATGTTACAATAACTACATTTTATGTGTAAACAACCACACATCTTAAGGTAGTTTTTGATGCCAGCAGCTTAATTCTGGTAGTACATTTTTTTCAGTCAACAATTTTTAGAATATTTAATATATTCGTCGAAAAAAAGAAAAAAATTACATAAGCACTAAAATAATGACGTAATCTAAGAACAAACACAAACATGGCTCATTGCACGTTAGCTACGTGGTCACACTACTTCTATACCAAATTTCAATTGATTTAGTGGAACGGTTTTCAAAGAGACTGGTTTTGGTGACTAGAGAAGAATAAATTTTGTTAGAAGAATAAATTTATTTTTGGACCAAACATTGCTTTTCTATTACGACGAATTTAAAAGATACTTAAGCTACATTTGTAAACGAATGGTTAAAAATGTGCTTTTATTATATTTTGTACTAAAAAAATATGTTCTGTTATGTACAGGTGTGTAGCTTACCATCACGCACACGACTTGTTCGTCCCGTCACTTGATGTTATAAAAAAATATATAACAGATTTGCTTTTTTAATTTGTCACCCCTGACCTTACCCTGTATGTTCGTTTTGCCCAAAATTAGTTTTTCACTTGTTTTTTTGATAACTATACGTTATTTCAATGGTTTTGTTTTAAGATCAAATTCGATTGAAATAGTTTTACTTAAGAATTAACTACGGATATATTTAAATATACAATATATTTATATGAAATACGGTGACAGTCCCTCTCACCCCATTTTTTGGAGGAAGAGAAACGTTAGCACAACCTGAAAGTTTTTGTCAGATACATTGTAAATATTAGTTTTAGCGTAACGATTGTTAAAACATGGAAAGCTGATAAACCAGGGCAAGATTAGAGCATTTGGAAATTCGTATAAGACATTATTTATTCTTCCTAGAGCTTATAACATTTGTCTCGAAATAAAGTATATTCCTCTTACCCCACCTGACCTTAGCTTGTTTACAAGAAACAAACATGAACACAGGAACATATACATAAAAAAAATATATATAACTGGTACCTGAGCAAACAGAACAAAAGCCGCGGTTTAGCAATATTAATAACATTGTAAAAAGCAAATTTTTTTAAAAACAGATGCCTATCGGACTCTAATTTCTCCTAGCAGCTGAAGGAATGTAAGGCAAAACTGCAAAAAATAGAAAATGAGGTGGATGAAAAAGACTGTCAACGTTTTTCCAAGGGCGTCGGAAAAATGCACCCAGCTAAAAGAATGAAATTTACCTACCTCATTTACAGGAGATTCAAACTCAACGAGAGACGAAAACAAAAACTATATTTCATACCAATATACAATTAGGAAAAGGAACTAGCCGCATCGGAAGGCCCTCACGTAACAACAATTCCAATTGAAGACCAATCAGACCTCGGCGAATACATGAACGAGGAAATGTTTCAGGATATAACTATAAAAATAAAAAACGGTACCGCGCCAGGAATGGATCAAATACTAACCACATTATTTAAGGTAAACTCGCCGGAGCTAAACAGACATATCATCACACATATGAATTTGGCCTGGAAACAAAACATAGTGCCACCAAATTGGATCCGAACAGTACAAGTCTCTATTCCCAATTCGCAAAAACAAGTCTCAATTCGCACCCCAAAAACCATCTACGATTACAAAAGAATATCTATTTACAACACGGGCTATAGGATATTCAAACTTCCTACGGCAAAGACTAGATGCGACTTTAGTGGAACTAGGAAATTACTAACCAGCATTCCTCAATAATGATCAACAGACCACCACATGTTTGCGCTCAGTCGAATGCTTGATGAGTCTTTGAAGCAAGGCAAATATGTATACATACTTGCATAGGGCATTAAGAAAGGTTTTGACTGTGTAAACCTAAACACACTCCAGGATATACTTCTTACGAATAAAGGCCTAAGATACAGGATCATTAAGGCCTGCAAGAACGAAATAACGAGCATTAAATGGTTTGGACACTAAACCAATTGGATAACGAAAGGAAAAGGAGTAAAACACGGGTGCCCTCTCTCGCCACGATTGTTCACTCTGATAGTGGACGACTTAATGAGAACTCTCGAGGAAGAAATTGGGGGAAATTTCCAACTCAACCAAGATAAGAAAATCTCCATACCGGTGGCACTATCATTCGCAGACGACAAACTCACTAAGCAAACTAGATATCATGTTTGACAGAACCCGCCACCTTCTTCTCTGCACAGTAGGCCTCAAAATAAACAACAAAAAACAAAAGTCCTCCTACGCGATCCAACTCAAGCCGGAACACAAGGAACGCCCGCAATCTTAGGTGGAACCAACATGCCAGTAATTAAATAAATTAATTATCTAGTCACATTCTTTAACTCTACTCACAGCCGCATAACTACATTACACACAAGATGTAAACAAGCTATCAAGAACGCAAAAATAATAACCCATTTCATTGTCATTGAACCCACAATGACTTACTGCCTTAAAACAGCCACAGTAACAAAAGCCAATAGAGCGAAGCGGAGAAGGTACGAAAGGTTAAATACTTAGAATTATAATTAACTGCGGAGGAACTAAACCAAATAAAAGAAAAATACACGATGTATTGGAGGGAAAGACGATCACCAAACGAATAAAATATCTGAGGCTTGCTACTTCGGCCACGTCTACAGAAGAAAACACTCACACATTTTACACGCAGCACGAAGACTAAGAGCAGCACAACTCAAAGTATGACCCATATTTACCTAGAACGAAACTTCTTAGAACATGACATGGAATACAAACAGCGTAAAGAAGACGACTGGATAGAACTAACTAAAGATAAGGATAAATTTAGGCAAGCAGCTGAAGAAATATATAAAATTCCGGAAACCGACACCGATTCAGAAGGGGAAAGAAATGATACAACTCAAGCCCCATGGACGAGAACACAACTTCACCCAAGACGATCCACTACGGCAACACGAAGCCCAACACCATCAACGCTCATTCCTAACAACAGTACCTAACCACTTACCCAAATAACTAACTACGGAAACCCAAGCTACGGGGCGCGTAGCTTGGGTTCGCGTAGAAGCCTTTTTTAAATATAAAACTTGGCTATTTCCATGAATAAATATTTATTTACGTTTTAACTGATGGAAGCTTATTCTAGAACAACCAAGATTTCTTCTTTTTTTCATCTTATTTTTTAATACAATTCCAAACACAAACCTATATTCATTCAGCCAGTATTTCTACTCATACTCCCTAGTCTACATTACCTACTTTCTGTCACGCGCTGCATAGCTGGCAGGTATCTGGCCACCGGCTGCGGCTGGTTGGTTTTCCCCTCCACAATCCCCGGCGTGTCACTTTCTTAACTGTGGCCCCACGTATATCCTGCTTGTCCGGGTCAAATTTACATTGACTGGGTGTGGTGCCAATGAGCAAAAGCATACTAAACATATGTCGGAACAATTGTTTTATTTCTTATGTTTATAATATACTATAAACCTCTTCTTTAATGTAACCAAATGACTACTAAATGAACAGTGGATGTTGGACCTTAGTAACGTAACCTTTGATTATTCATTGTTGTTAATTGAATAAAATGGATACACCTAATTCATAAGTAGTTATTTTTGTAGCGACTATAGCCGTTGTCGGTTGATTCGTGAAAGAAGTAAGAGATCTGCTTCGTGTTACGGTCGTAATAACTGGAGTCACAACAGAAAAAGCAGGCCCTATAACAAACGATATGACCGTGCGAACGAACGAAAGTGCAATATGAAGTATCTCCTAACTTTAATATGCCTGATAGTGGTTGGAGTTAATAAAAACAGCGTAGGTGGCTCTGATCCTATGTATAACTGTAGTAATTGTGAACCCCAACAAATACATATCGCTTTTGGGGGTAAGTACATTTGTAAATTGAAGATACCACTCACTTCACTGTCATAACTTGTGCGATTGCATCGATAATACGCATTTGACAACTAACATAGTATTATCTCAAAAATTGCGTTATATTATATTTTATCTCAAAATTGCGTTATATTAATAATTTATCTCCAAAATTTCGCTTAGTGTCATTCATATACGATTTAATTTCAAAGTGACAGGACAACACTGTCGTTTTTGACACTAAATAGGTAATATTAATATAACTTATAGCAATTTTGAGATAATACTATGTTAGTTGTCATGTGCGAATACTTCATAATATTTTACATCTGTACCAAATTTTAATCCCATGGTAGAGGAGAACGACGATATAGTGGTAACATGGACGACAATCGGTGATACCCAGCAAAGCCTTGTGCAGTTCGGGATGGCTCAAGACCCTTATTTAAATTGGGAAGCCACGGGCCAACGCACCAGCTATGAAAACCTTCGTGGTCAGTGGATACATCGTGTTGTTTTGAGAAATCTTTATTTCAATACCACCTACAGTGAGTTGTTACGTACCTTATGTTTATTATCGCATATAGCTGTTTGAGAACGTCGTGCGAAGCCGCACGGTGACGACTTCTGGTTTATTATTATGATAGTATGCTTTCATAACTTAACATACTTTATTTTATTAAACATTACATTTCCAGATTACCGCTGTGGATCCCGCTTTGCATGGTCGAAATTGTTCTACTACACCACGTTTCCCGAAAGACAGGCTGTGCTGCGCGCCGCTATATACGGAGATATGGGGGTTGATAACGCACAAGTATGACAATTTACTCATTATCTTGAGAAAGGTTTAAAAATTATAAAAATCATAGGCATATGAATCAGTAGCAGTAGAGCTCCTTGTGAAAGAGTTCGTCCAGGGAAGTACTGTCATCTTACATATTTCTGCCGCCAGCTGTAATGCAAGCATTAATGTGTTCCGGTTTTGAAGGGTAAGGGTACTGGTGAAATTACAAACAAGAACTTACGTCTCAGGGTGACGGGCGCACAGGCAGTACCCCTAAGATATTTGCGATTTAAAGCTCTGAGTGGCACTGCAACTGTCCTGGAAAGGCGTGTCGCTGACCACCAGGCGCATGACTTGTTCACCCTGTCACTTGGTATTAGTAATAAAAATATCTTGTCCAGTTTCTAAATATACGTAAAGAATTTTGTAAATGTTAGCTATTGATTATCGTCTTTCAAAACATTTACTAACTCATCTCATAATAAGCAAGTGACTTAGCTTAGGTATTTGTAGGCAAAAAAAATGAATCGTAACTAGAAACTTATTCGAAAACAGGCCATCCCGTACTTGCAACAAGAGGCAGATACCGACAGCATACATTTTATTCTGCATCTCGGCGACTTCGCTTATGATATGAACGATGACGATTCGCATAGAGGCGACCAGTTCATGCAGAAGATACAGCCGTTCGCAGCTATTGTGCCCTTTATGGTTTGCCCCGGAAACCACGAGTATAGCAAGTTAGTAGACTGTGTTTCGCGCTTTGCGGCATTCCACATCTTGTGAAGTCCTGGACTACAATAGACGTAGGGAAAATCGTTGCACTTCTATCACCGTGATTATCGTTCTAGTTACAAAATAAAATCATCCTGTCATCACGATATTGTAATGTTTATTTGTATTTGAAAAACTGATCCACAATAACCTTCACAGTTTTACAAGCTTGTCGCATTATTCGGTAATAAGACCATGCGGCGTGTTTATTATTTTGGATCAATTTTGTACAATTATCTTATTTGTATTTTTATAATACAATATATTTACACGGTATTTATACTGATCTAATCATTTCTTGGTTCATAATTAGAATTTAAAAATAAAAGCCAACTACAACGAACAGAAGAACTGACAACAAAACGGAGATCGCGCATGATTTTGTTCGTAAAATACGTCGTGTGTCGTGATTTGAGCGACAGAGACGACGTAACGTTGTTCCTTCGTAAAAAGTCACGGTGATACTATATGACGGCTGATCGCTGTGATTTTTTCATCGTGACGTTATTTACCATCCACCTCTAGACTACAGGATCAACCAATATATGCAACTTTTCTTCTAAGCAAATGCAGATTCTAAGGTAGAAGAGATAGCAAACCTGTAAAAAGGTTATTTGATTTCTTAGAAAACTTCACTACAATACAAACTTACAAAATTAGGACATTTAATTCTTTTTTTTTGCTTTAATTCTTATCAATTTAGACAACATTATTACAGTCGGTTATTTACTTATTACTGAGACAATTTAAATAGTCACTACAGCCCCTTGTTCGGTACAGGAGGTCTATTCTCGATCTCCGTCAGACATCCGTCCGGAACAATTACTGCCAAATAAGCAATACTTTCAATTGAACTAGAGTCAAATCTTCATTCCTCTTATAAAATCTTTTTCAGAAATTTCACACAATACAAAAGCCGCATGACCATGCCCAATTACGAACAGTCGGAAAGTATGTTCTACAGCTGGAATATCGGCCCCATTCACTTCGTGTCGATCAACACTGAAGCGTATTACTTTCTCAATTATGGCCTAGATCCACTAGTCAGTCAGTTTCGGTGGTTGGTGAAAGACTTGAAAGAAGCCAATTCAAAGAAAAATAGGTGAGACACTTAACAGACACCAGATTGATACCAGATGACCAGAGTAAAGTGGAAATGGTGGGTCCAGCGTGATTTTAAGAGATACGAGGTTTATATTCACTATATAGCTTGAAATCGACAGACAAGTTTTAATTGTTTTGTCATTTTGGATACGCGGGCACGTAAGGCAAATATTTAAGGTATAATGAAATGATGCAGTGTTGTTTACAAGTATAATATCATTGAAAAGGTGCATCATACAACCTTGCTCTATACGTCTCTGAAATGCGAACCCTTTGAAGTGCATAAATCACAGTCATTATCTTTTCTAGCGAGTGAGGCACAGTTGTACATCTTAATACCTTCTTCTATCTCTCTCATAAATGCGAGCTTTACAAACAGAAAATATGCTTTTTTATTAGAAAGAAGCAACCATGGATTATAATGTACGGTCATCGCCCAATGTATTGCAGCGGAGAAGAGCACAATAACAAGGCTAATTGCCTCGAAGCGGCAACCAGGACTGGTCTAAATGTACCTAGTTATACAAAGACCTTCAGTAAGTACGCAAACTTTACTAAACTTTTGACATAGTTTTGCTTCGAATAGAGGTTCAATTCGTGCCCTGGTTACTTACCGTTGCTTGTTGTATCTTTTCATTTTCAGCCATAGAACCTTTGCTTATGAAATATGGTGTGGACATTGCGATATGGGCGCACGAACACATGTACGAGCGAACGTGGCCTTTATATGACTTCAAAGTGTACAATGGCTCGACTGAACAACCTTATTTGAACCCACGGTAGCGTTCCTGTTTCGTGCGAGTTCTGTTTATTTGTTTATTCTAAATTAAATGGGTAGTTCTCTGGTTTCGTGCAAATTGCATGTTCTATTTAAAGTATGACGGAAGTATAAACTAAATGTTATTGAATGAATATCTATTGTAATTGGCTTTCACGGCGACTAAATTACTTTACAAATAAAAAACTACAATGCCTTCAGCAAATATCAAATAACATTATTTTATTCCGTTATAATCAGTACAGCTATCTTACTAGCTACTCGTGCATGTTTGTCGCTTTGTTCGTAAGCAGTGTAGAATGAGGATGTGTGCCAATTTTTTTACAAAACATCCAAAAATGTCGTTCGTGATTAGTTTTCCATAATCATTTTTTAATCGCCTTCAATGTCATTTTACGGTAAGTACTCGTGATTTTACTAAATCTAGTTAGTTTAATAGACTTGAAGTTAGATTTGGATAGCTAGTATTTGATTGATATGTACATATTGCCATTACTCTAGCATAATATCCAAATAAGTTAAAAAATCTCATTAGTCTCTACTACACTACTACATTATCGTCTATTCCCTACAGTTTTAAATATGACGATAATGAAGCAAAATTGAAGGTAATTATAATTATGAGTGGAATTTATGAAAAATCATATCATGTAGTTTTTAATAGGCATCAGAAAAACTAATATTTATTTTTCTCGCGATTTCGTCCAAATTTACACCAACCCAGAGAACTACTCAAATACGTCAAGTAGCACAAATATTGTTCCTAAAACGCGAAGGTTCATGTATAACCAGGTACAATTAGTTGGGTAGATAATGGGCATAAATGTATACCTATGATATTGGGTATGGTAGGAAAAAAAATAGAGAACTATGCAAAAATTACAAAGTAAGACCACGGGGTAAGACAGTAGGCCACCGCCACCGTCAGAATTATACAAAGGGTCAATATCTTTATTAAAAAATTGCACCTTAAGTTATTTAGCTATGTAGCGTTCAGTAGTTGAAATACAATCCTATTTGCTATTAGTGCAGCTGGTTTTGTTTACATTTTCAGGGCTCCTATACATATTGTCACAGGGGCAGGCGGATGTTTAGAAACACCTAATCAATTTGTGCGTACGTAATCATAAACTATTACTTAATTTCGTTTTTTAAGCAACTACATGTCTACCTGTTAATAATATGGTTTATAAGTCATTAATTTGAAAGACTACTGCATTGTTCAAAATATACTATAGGTACTTCTTATTAAGGTGCATCCAAACCATAGTTACTTTTTGTGTAGCAACGTTTAAAAGCGTTGCTCAGCAACATCTGATAGCAAAAAGTTATCTATTGTTTATGTTGCCGTGTTAGTATATGTTAAGTAATTTTGCCTAGCTTTAGAAAAACAGTCAACATGTGGTAACATTGTCAGAGAATGTTACCTCTACTTTAGCGATTTTAGTGTTCAGATCAGAAATCAGAGTCTGTCACTCTCACAAAATTACTCAAAATTCCATCAATACGTAAGTCTGCAATGTATTCACATCCACTTATTTTTCTCTAGACGTGTGTGAAGTGTTTTGCGCACCCAAATCGAGTGTTGTTTTTTCTTATTTAAAATGAGAAAACATGCATTCATCTTTCATACCGACACAAATGAGACACGTCAAAAGTTACTCTTCATATTTTGTTCATTTCTGTTGGCGGCATGGACGCGATGAGTAACATTCAACAAATAGTAACAAGTAGCCACAAAAGTTACAGATAGTTACCTAATGTTGCCGTGTTGCAAAATGTTGCTCCACAAAAGGTAATTGCGGCGTGGATGCATCTTTAGGTACGAATAACCTCTCGTCTGTAGTAAAGACCAAACCTTTTTTTATGATGTCAAGTGACGGCATGAATACGTCATGCGCTTGTTGGTAAGCGACATGCCTGTCTTTAACAGTTGCAGTGGTGCTCAGCGCTTTAAATCGCAAAGATTTGAGGGGCACAGCCACTGCACCTGTCACCCTGAGCTTTAAGTTGATGTCCCATGGGTAATTTCACCAGCCCTTACCTTTCAAAACCGAAATGCTGTAATTGCTCACATTACATACTACGTGGCGTCAGAAATAGATAAGGTGGCAGTACTTCCTTGGACAAACTCTTCCGCAAGGGGCTTTATTGCTACTACACTTAATGCTCCTATTGTAGTCGGTAAAATTAGTTTTAATGTGGGATATTTCAGGCTTGCAATCTGATTGGTGCGCATTCCGTTCGACCGACTACAGCTATACTCGGTTGCACGCACACAACAAGACGCACATCTACTTCGAACAGGTAAAATAACATCTGACCTATCCTATTAAGCGCGACAATGGACAAAAATGTGTATCCTCAAGTAATACCAGGTAATTAATATTCTGTTGGTTAAAGATCAGACAATTCTATTTGAGCCAGCGGTTGTTGTCTATAAGTATCAGCCTTTTCCCAAGCAACATACTTAAGTTCAATTTATAATGCATAATGAACTTAAAGCATCATGAACTTTATGGTCAATTATGTAGATTTTGCTCGTATCTAGTTTGTACGTTAAACAATTGACCATGAAATTCATTATATAGCATAATGAATTTCATGGTCAATTGTTACAGTGTACAATATCGTTACAAAAATTCGTTCGCTTCCATCCATAAACTGTGTCTTAGAAGCACCAGGGTCAAGAGCACGCCAGGCTTGACAAAGACTTAAATTTAACTCTATGCCGCTTGCAATAAGAACAGTCCAAAGTATCAAGCTTGTGGTGCTCTTAACTGTATCTATGTTGTTTAGTGCCTAAACAAATATACTGTACTTAATGTAAGGCTTTTTGGAACAATAAAATTTAATTGTAGAGCTGACAATAAAAAAGTTAACATTTCGCGAAAGTATTGGGAAGACATGTAGAGGAAAGCACAATTTTACATAATTTGCTATACAATGTATTGAACTTGTTTTGAATATTAAAAATGCGAAAGGATATAAAATGTGAATAAATAAATTAATATTATTAAGAGCCGGTTCACATAACAATAATAATAATAATGTGCTAAACAACCACACCAATTGTCATTGGAAACTAATGAATACCCTGTAGGTACTATGAGTACCAGAGCAACGTAATTCACTCTGGGGCACTTCCCAGAACGTCCAAGTGGGAAACAATTTAGAAAAATGTATTTCTAAATTGGTACTACCGGGAATCGAATCCAGGACCTCCTCATCCTGCGCCGACAATGCAAACCGTTGGGCCACCGAGGTTGTCGCCTGAATCTGGCCTAAAATGCGCAATACAAAATATGATAATAAAGTGCGCGTGCTTGTTTCAGGTAAGCTTGAATTTGAAAGGTAAAGTGATAGACTCTTTCTGGGTGGTGCAGAAGAAACATGGTTCATTTCGTTCGAAGAATCATTAGCCCTCGTTAAGACAGATTACAATACAGTGTGGTGTGTGCATTGTCTAAAGGTAGTCACAATGTATGTAGGTACATCACATGCATGGTATTTGATATTTACAGAATATAATATGCAATAAACATTGAGGTGTTTTATTCATTTTTTGACTCCTGTACTTTAATCTGTCAATTATAATTTCAGAAACATATTACAAACGCGCTGTTTTAAGTTCGAAACCAAAATTCTATTGTCCATGGTACTCGTTATTGAACTGGAAAATAAAAAAAAAGAATGGTGTATTTTTGCTAATTAAAAGAGTCTCCTCAAACGCATCACTGTGTTCCTGAACAGAATAACGTCACTGTATTTGTGAAATAATTAAAATTCACATTTATTTCATTAAATTTAATAATGTAAGGCTTAAACCATTTGGCAAAGAGAGGTATGCACTTAAAACAATTTAAAATATCAATTATGACGCTACTCAAACGCTCAACTGCCTCCTGATTCGTTAAAACATAAGCGATACTTGGCCAATCACAGACACTTCTATCTCTTTGGTTTTTTTTGTTTTGTAGCGTTTGTTTGAGTTTGTTGTCATTAGAGATGGGCGTCTCAGAAACTTTCCATAAATCTACCCTGTATATACCCGGGAATATATATTTGAACTGCCTCTGTGGCCGTAAAGATACTCGGGCTGTATGTGCTCGCTTGGTTGATATCATTATTTTAATTTACTCGTAGAAGAAGTATTGTATACAATCTTTACATAATTAGGTCAGCAAAGCCTCGTGGCCTAAACACGGCACTCATTGTGCATCGATTGCAGAAAATACTATTACTCATTACTTTCTGTAACATAATAGACAAATATCTAAAAAAAAATTCCAGCTGAACTAATAAATTCAGTTATTGATTATCGATATAATTCTAGTGTTATTGGAAAATAAAAGAAAAAAGCGCCTTTAAAAAAAATTATGTTATATGTTTATCATTCAATAAACAATAATATATGTATATAAATGCTAACCGTTTGGGAGACCCAACGACAGTCATACAAAGGGGAAGATCTCCAGCATTCTGGGCACCCGTTATTTCAAAGTAGTTCGAGTCGTAGTATTAGCCCCGTTTAAATATAACAATTCGTACCTTTGGTATAACAAATTTATATATGTGATCATACGTCAAATGTGCTTTAATCACACGACGAAAGATAAAAATACGATAGGGTGCATATAGATCTAGAGAATGTGTCACGATTGCGCTGCGCGCGCGCTGCACGCTCTCTGTAATGGCATTCCATAGTATGCATGAGCGGAAACGCACGTGTGCAGTTCGCAGATTTGTACGTAGCCTAATAAATAAAATTCCCAAAACCTAGAGAACAGCGTGTAGGTAGTTTAAAAATGTTTACAGTTTGGAGGTCATAATTAAGGTGACTAAAATGATGTTACAATTTTGGATACATCTAAAATAACGGATATGTCTAAAAATAACGTCTGCCCAAAGTGAAGTTTAATGCGCCGATGCATTGTGATGGCCACTATAATGTGTGAAGGCGTCCAGGCTGACCTACAGTGTTAATAGTAATTGTCAGTCCAGGTTTTACCTATGATGTAGGGTGAGCGGCCCACGCGGGCGCAGGGTCTCATGCTAACTTTCCAAGGCCGCGCAAGCTCGCGCCAACGCGCCCTGGAAGTGACCGTCCGTGCTCACATGTATGGGCCTATGGCGTGAGCTCGAATGTACAAATCGGCGCGGCGCGGCGTGGCCCCTGATATCACGGGTTGTGCAGCCACCTTTAGAGTGCGACGAGCGCCGCTCGCGACGCCTTCAAAGAACCTGCGTTCTTCGCGGGGCGCAAGCGAAGTAAACGGGCTATTGCTTCCCTACATCATTTATAATTGCTCCATTTGCACTTGAATTTACGATAAATGTGAAAAATATAAACCTAAGTTAGTAGGTTACTTATTCCATTTGCAACCGCGTGACTACTAGAGGGCGCTATTGGATGGGCAATCGCCAGCGCGGTTAAATTGTATTGTTAATCTATTAGTGGTGAACTACAGAGGATAAAGCGCAGGCCACAACGCGAACGAAGCTATGCTAACTTAGCTTAGTTCTTGTAGTGGCACGCAACCAATATGCCAACTAAGCTAACTTAGCTTAGCTCACGTAGTCGCATGCAAAGCTAAACTAAGAAAATACGTACTAAGTAGTGACGTGCTATACTATGAACACGCACGAGGGTGAAGGGCGGTAGAAGGGCGACATATTTTACATAACTTAGCGGGTTCTTTGGGTTAATTTAGTTAGTTCGGTTAGCTTAGTTTGCGATGTGATCCGAAGTATGAAATGATGCCCGGTTACGTGAGCTAAGCTAAGCTAGCTTAGCTTCGTTCGTGGTGTGGCCGCGCTTTGCAATTGTTTCCAATAAATTATTATGGACAACCTTTACTTCTTCTTCTACTAACATGCTCTTGATTGTGGGCCCTACTGTTATGCTGTGAAGGTATTATTGTCTGTTACCTTGAAACAGTGAAACGGTACAAAATCCAAAGTGTCAGACTGTACCTATTTGTTTAAAATAACGCAGAAAATGTGTGAATGTTTATTCATTTATTTTTTTGAATGTTGAGACAAGAGCTAGCTTGAATAAAATGAGCCGTGATGCTTTTGCACTACCCAGAATTCGTCGATCACGGTTCCACGTAAGTTCGTGCTTATCTGAAACAAATAAAGGCACATTAACGTATTTTAATTTTCGTTTAAAATATTCCACAGTCACATAAGCGAATGTTATTTTACCTGCTCAAAGTGAATATGCGTTTTGTTGTGTGCGTGTAATAGAGTATAGCTATAGTCTCCCGAACGGGATGCGCACCAAGAAGGTTTCAAAGCTGAAATGTCCCAAATTATAACAATTAGTGCATAATAGAAACTTCAATTTCACTTTGTTTTTATTGCTTTGAATTTTGACTAAAACGTAAACAGGCTCAAGTAGATACTCGCCAAGCTTGAAACTTAAAATTTGACTTTAATTCTATACCGTTGATGATAAATAAGGTTCAAGCTTGATGTGCATTACATTTTATGTACTTATTTGATTGGATGTCTATAAACATTGGACGACGATAGCTAGATACAAACAGTAAGTATTGTTTTCTTATTCCACTCAGTACTATGCATCGAATATACATATAATCAGTTATGTTATTACTGCTACTGTTTCACGTTACTTTCTATATTTATTTTAGCTCTAACATTTCGACAAAAATATATGAATCCAACGCCACGAAAGAATTAAAAAAGTAAACCATAATACTAGAGATGGGAAAAATGCTTATTTTTTTAAAGTTGAGTTAAACATTTTTTTTTAAAAGCGTGCTTTTCAAACGCTTTTCACTTAAACGCTTTTTAGTTTGAAACTTACAAAATCGTCTAGAAAAACGTTTAAGCGCATACACTTTGATGTTAAAAAAGCTTGCAACGTTGTGTTGATAACGAAAAGCAAGAATAGACCACTAAACGTATTAAGGTAAGTAAGTTTATTTGTAAAACACTAGTTTTATTTTTATTTATAAAATTATTATTCACATTGACGAATTAATTTGTTTAGGAAACAAGATGGCGGGACTCGAAACATAAGCACGTTGTTAACTCTTACGCTTAAATTGAAACGCGTGCTAGTATGCTTATTTTAAAAAGCAAACTTTTTAAAGTGCTTTTCGTTTAAACGCCACCTCTACATAATACTGTAATGTAATAAAAATAAGACAAGTAGGGCAACTCCGTACAAACAAACATAACGGGGGGGCTTGTAGGTGTGCACGCCTTGTACGGACGCACTGCATTTAACAAAGGTTATTTCAATATAGCACACGAACACTATCTAGAACACCTTAATTTTTTTAAATTATGTTTACAACCTGTTAACAGCTAAAACAATAATGGGACAACACTACACTCCGAGTGAAATGTAGGCATTAATGCGCCGAATAAACGGGAGTTGTTCTACATGTCTTAATAGACCTAGATCTCTACTATAATACTTTAACGACACTAGGCAGACAAAACCAATATAATGTGATTTGATTACGAACGCGTGAAAGGATCTATTCCTTGTTTAGTCCCGGCGGCTCCTGTGATTATATGTATTGGAGCCCTGAAAATCATAAATGAAACTTTCAAATATTGTTACAATTAAAACAACTATATCCAAGTAGTTGTATTTTTAGAACAGGAAACGTTACCTTGGATTCACATAAGGTTGTTTAACGGAGCCGTTGTACACTTTGTTGTCATACACCGGCCACGACCGCTCGTACGAATGCTGATGCGCCCATATCGCGATGTCAACACCATACTTCATTAGCAAAGGTTCTATGGCTGAAATGAAATGAATTTAATTAAAAATGAAATGAATTTAATTAAGTCAGTCGAAATAAGTAACCGAATTGAGCCTCTAGTCTGAAGCACTACACTATATAAATGTTTTATCTGGTGTTGCAACGAACAGTATATCCAGCTTATAAAATTTGGCCAGGTGCGTGGCCGGTTAGTCGAATATTCGGGCTGATTAATGCATACAAAAATTGGTACAAACAAGGACATATTAACGTTGGTTGTGTTAAAATAATAATTTTGTACATCTATGGTACAATTACTTTTCAACTTTGTTATTCAATATGACTTATTAAAGAAAGTAATTGTTTCTTTTACTGCATTTTGATTAACGTCCAAAACTAAACTTTATTTTTATTTGCAAATAATTAATAATAATTAATAGAAGTAATTAGTACTTGGTTGATTTTGTTAGCGTTTATTTAGAGTCAAGAGCAAAATTGCGCGTACTTACACTCTATGTTCGGCATAATAAAAGTTACATAATAATGCACCGCGTTTTTTCTTATTTTTTCCTCTTTTTTTAGGTATTCGGTACTCAGCCGAATAGTGATTCATTATTCGGTATTCGGCCGAATGGCAAAAAACACACCAAATTAGCGGAATACCGAATATTCGTCGCAGCTCTAGTTTTAAGCTTAAAATTTGCATACTAACCAAAGTTATCTTTAAATCCGGGTAAATCTCCACCAACCCTGGTTGGTACATTATAGCATTGATTTTTACTTTTAAAGTTCATCCCACTGCAATACATCGGATGGTGACCGTACATTATTATCCATGGGCGCTTCTTTCTGGTACACAGAGAATATTCTTCCTTTTGAAAAATTCGCATTTATTACACAGAACAATGTAATTTCAATTGATTTCTTAGTTGATGGCCTCGGTAGCCCAACGTTTTGCGTTGTGGCCATTGGATGCGGAGGTTTCGGGTTCGATTCCCGGTAGGACCAATTTGGGAAATGAACTTTTCTAAATCGGTTCTGGCCTGGGTGTTCTGTGTAGTGGCCCAGAGTGAAATACATTGCTCTGGTACTCATAGTACAGGTTTTAAACCAGGTAACGGGCGTTGTTTGGCTTATTATTATAAATTATATGGTTTTTATTTCTTTTTCTCAGCCTGTTGTCTGGTTTTAACCACACTTATGAACCGAAATTAAGTAAATGTATAGTATGTTGTGCATCATGTGGAGGGTGTGTAATAACAGCTTACTTCGTCCTTTTTTAACTGCATGAACTTTTTGACAATTCGGCATGTATTATAAAATTAGACCTATTTGCAAGGTAGGTAATGTAGAGGTTTTCTTTAAGCTTATAATTTGAGGCTATGGAGAAGATGATTGGAAATAATTCCTATTGTGGAAAAAACATTATTATTATTATTATTATTATTAATGCACAATTACGCCCCACTTAACCGGATTTGTCGGTGGAATAAATACTAACAAGTCTCAGATGGCATAAGGTAATGGAATCATTTATTATTAACAGTAGTTCGCTTATTCGGCGAAAGTTGCTTGTGCGAACCCTTCTGCTGCAATATATGGGCCGCTAAACTAATATTGTGATCCACGGGCATCTTTTCTAGTATACAAAACATATAACAATGAAATGTATCTATATATATGTGATTTCGTTTGTTTTGTAATTCCTCACCACCGAAAAGAACAGCCTCCTATGATGTTAGAGTATTTAATAAAAATATAATATTTTTGGAACACACGGAGACGTACACACAGGTCAGTTGTTGGCGCTGTACTATTTCAGTGCAAACGAAACTTGATAAGTCCAATTTGACTGATGAGTTTCGGGGATGAATGGGGTGGAATTTATTCCGTTCAAGGGGTTTGATTCACACAGACAGATAAGGTAAGGTTTAGCCGGGTACTCACTAGCGAGGTTTAACAGTCGCAGATAATGTTACCAAAAATCAGAGTATACGTGGTTCGCGCGCTTGTTGCGAGCGGAACGCGTGCAGTTCGTAGTGAGCCGACGATAACCAGGCACTCATTCTAGTGAGTGAAGACTGTTTCACGCCTACACACTATTACCACGTTACTGTGTCACGGTTACAGCTCGCTAATGAGTTCCCGGCTTTTTATGGTGCATCATTTTATTGCGAGTAGGGACTCACTTTACGTCCCCGAATGTCCAATCCAAAATGATAAAAGGCGGTAGTAAAATCTAGCAATGATTAGACAACATCATATACCTACGTTGCTCTGTAATCGCAAAGTTAGCACTTGGGTTGCTGGAAATCGGATGCAACGACGGTACCATAAACACCCAGACCCGAGACAATGTATGTGAGTTTTTCTACATTGACCCGGCCGACCGTGGAACGAACCCGGAAACCTCAGATATGGCGACACCATGAAAAGCGTTGTGCGAGCCGCATGACCACGGAGGACGTCAATATACTCGTATGCCATCTTCAAGCTATGCAGTGACCTTGCAAAAGCATGCTGCCGCACCATTCCCAATTCGTACAGTCCATGAGTGTGAAGTGATTAATAATAAATATTTGTTAATGTCTCACCTATTCTTCTTTGAATTGGCTCGCTTCAAATCTTTTACTAGCCAACGAAACTGGTTGACCAGCGTATATTTGCCTAAACCGAGAAAGAAATACGCCTCGGTGTTGATCGAAACGAAGTGAATACGGCCGATGTTCCAGCTGTAGAACATGCTCTCCCATAGTTGGTATTTGGGCATAGTCATGCGACTTTTGTATTGGGTAAAGTTTCTAAAAAAAGACGTTAAAGGAACTGTATATTCGCACTTAATTTATCGTAATAAATTTTAGTTCTTGTGCTCACTAGAGGCATTGTACAATTTGCTATATAAAATTTCACAGTAGGTACGGTTGCAAGCGATTATTAATTTACATTGGAAACTCGTGGCAGAGAGTCTGGGCACCTAAAGCAGCATAGCAACAGAGATGACAAAAACCTGCCCATTGCTAATGTAGGTACTTTAAAGGCGCATTTATTCGACACGAATTTCGTCGCGTTCGACGAGCGGAGTCCGCGTTGCCGCCGCACAGCGACCGCGTGCGTCTAACTGTCATGGCAAAATACGCTCCAGTTATTTAGCTTTTACGTTTTAAATTAAATTAGCGTCTCGGTCACGCGGGCGAGGCTGGCTTGCATTTGATCTACGCGGCGGCCCGCGCGTTTGTATTATATATATTTAAATGTTGTTGCCTATTACCTAAATATAATTCAGATTCGCCATTAATGTACATGAAGGCGTGGTAACAGGCGGTCGCCGCGCGGCGGCCGCGCAAAAACATTCTCCTCGTGTAACTGGGCGCTAAGGGGATTACTGGCCCAAATTATATGTAAGTAGGTCTGATTCTAGGGACGCACCAGAGTTTAAGGACTACAAGTAATGGAATAATTACATACAAACATTTTAATCGAATGGAATGTGAAATTAAAAAAAAAACAATAAAAGGAAAACAAGTCAAAATGTGATTGATTTTTGTTCCGACGCTCCTCATATGCAAAAACGAATCATTGTACTAAATGCAGTCAAATTACTTGTTTTGATCGTGGTTCCCGGGGCAAACCATAAAAGGCACGGTCGTTGCGAACGGCTGTATCTGCCGCATGAACTCATCACCTCTACGCGAATCTTCATCTTGCATATTATATGCGAAGTCACCGAGATGCAGAATGAAACGTATGCTGTTGTTTTCGGCTTCTTGTTCTAGGTACGGGATGGCCTGCATTCAAATTAGGTTTTAGTTACCATTAAATTCACGGCTTAGGGCCAGTTGAAAAATGACTGATTGGGCCTGGGACTTGTCTTTTACCATTGCGCGATTTTTAATATTCTAGAACAATTTTTATAAAACATCTGAAGTTCTAAATATGGACTGAAGATTCTTTTCCTCCGACCATCGAGTATACAACCAGAAATAGAGACGAAATGTCATTTAATTTGTTTGAAAATTATTCTGCCAAATCATTACTATGACAAGTGCGCTCCGATTGGCCAGCCCGAATTCGAAACAATTGACGGGTGTCGTCAATTCCGTTTGTTTTTTAATTAGAAGTTTTGCTGTTTCTCCCAGATCACCGAACGGAACAGCCCCCTATAGTTAGAGATATTATCTTTATTACAATAAATACAGAATATTTTTGGAATATACGGAGACGTACACACAGGTCAGTTGTTGGCGCTGTACTATTTCAGCTTTGTAATTTCAGTGCAAACGACAGTTGATATTTAAAAGTAATATCACATTTGCTTGATGGGTTGCCAGGGATGGATGGCCCTTACTTCGTCTTTATTTCTGGTGATATAAGTACTCGATACCTCCCACCTGCAGAATTAATTTACAATGAGGGTGAATTAAGATCTACTAACTCTGCACAAGCAAATTAACTAAATCTTTAGCAACAAGTTTTTTTATAACACCGAGTTATGAAACGAACAAGTCGTGTGGCTGGTGGTAAGCGACACGCCTGTCCATAACAGTTGCAGTGCCGCTCTGAACTTTAAATCGCAAACATCTGAGGGATACTACTATTGCGCACGTCACACTGAGACAAGTTGATAAGTCCCATATGCGCCTGTAATTTCACTCTTCAAAACCGGAACGCAATAATGCTCATATTAGTTGGTACTGCTTGGCGGTACTTCCATGGACGAACTCTTTCACAAGGAGCTTAACATCAAGTTAATATCAAGATTTTTAAAAGTCACATACTTGTGCGTTTTCAACACCCATATCTCCGTATATGGCACCACTTAGCTTTTTCTTAATTTTAGGTACCGTGGTGTAGTGAAATTGGTCCGACCACGCATAGCGGGAGCCGCAGCGGTAATCTGGAATTGTAGATTTCTAAATAGTTTTTAGCAAGCACTTCTTGTTTAAATGATACGCGTCAAAGTTTACAATGAATCAATAACCATCAACCCATCAAAATTAAGACGCACGCTAAAGTTCAACCTTATCTTAATATGTTCCTCGTGTATTAATAATGTCACCTAATTTTAAGATAGCATTTAATTGTATTGACCCATTTATAAGTCCCACTGCTGGGCACAGGTCTCTTCCAGGCAATGGTTAGGCCATAGTGCCCCACATTAGGCCAATGCGGGTTGGGATTTAACACGTTTTCCGAGGAATGCGATCTTTCTTCGATGTGTAGATTAAGGAAAACATCTTGATGTAATACGATACAAAAAACTCATGGTTTTCAAATTGCTTTTCGCACACAAAGGTGCGAGTCTGGATTCGAAACCACGGCCTCTGCTTGAGAGGCGATATTATTATGATCAAAAGCTGAAAAACGTTGAGAAATTGAATCGTGCCGTCATTTTGAATTTGCCTCTGTACAGTAAAACAAAGTTATTGTCTCTGTACAGTACACCTACGGCGATAAAAGTCGAAAAAACTCAATACAAAAGATCTGAAACTAACACGTAAAGAAATTCGTAACGTCTGTTGACTCGATGGCGGTGGCCCTAGTTTGGCATATAGACACCGGTTCGAGTCCTATCAGATCGAAGGAATTTTCTGAGTTCGATTTTTGTATTAATAACAAACTTTAATTTCACAAAAAAAAATCAGTCAATAGTATTAGCTTACTATAAATGGTATTGAACTGAAGATGTTTCAACGTGACGCGATGTATCCACTGTCCATGCAGGTTCTTGTATCTGGTGCGTACGCCTTCGGCCATCTGGTCCAGATCCGGGAACACGCCGAAATTCACTAAGCTTTCCCGACTGTCGTTCATCGTCGTCCATGTTACTACTATATGGTTGATTTTCTCTACCAAACAAAGAATAGGGTGCAGAATGAGAAGTAGTACCTACCTATAGGTTGTTCATAGAATTATTGAAATTTGACTAGTCAGTAAAGTCGCCTGTAGCGAATTGCAGTCAGTAGTAGCGTTGATTTCAGCCGCCCGGGGCCAATCTCAAATTTGTTGCCTATTTTCACGATTACAAAATTTAATTCGTTCGGGCAGGCTCGGCTCCATTATGTTTTTGTATTAAACGGCCCATTCACTACCAACATGGCAGTCCGCCGCGCAGGCAGGAGACTGCTCACACACTATCCTGTGTATGGCCGACGAGTCTCGCAGGACACATTGCAGAATTGCATGATTTGCACGCTACGACCAGTGTTGCCACTGTACATAATTGAAAGTCCCTAGAAGGTCAGAAATTTTCCGCTAGATTTGGGTAAAAATAATTTCCTAAAATCCGCTAGATGTCTCTAGATTACAGTTGCGTAGATTTTGAGTCTTTAAAACATTTTTTACACACATCAGTCAAGTGGTCAATCTGACAAATTGAGCTATGTTCAGCATCGTTTTTGTGTTTTTTTGTATTTCTAAATACTTTTTCAAGTCATTAATTTTTGAGTACATTTCGCAGTGGCAACAACTACAAAATGCTGTTGTGGAGTCACCTGGTACTGGTTTCAACAAATGTTTGAGCTTCTCGTACTTTTCCCTTTCGTTTCTATAATTCTATGCGTACGCTTTTTTTGGCGGCACTTCCATGCTTATTTGAAAATCGAATTTGATTCACAAACAGTAAATAAAATTGCAAATAATTACGACAATATGAACCAAAAAGCACTTATTTTAATTTAGTTTTGAACACAACAAACAAAAATTAATTATATTCATCTTATCATTCTGTGAGAGAAAAAAAATTCAATCAATAGGTTTTTGCCTTCCTCATTCCTAATTGTAACGCGCGAGAAAGGCATCAAACGAACGAATGGATGTTGAGAGTTTGGAGAGTTCAGGGAATTACCGTTCAGTCCGATTCTACGTTAGTGTTATCAACGTTAGAACTAGAAAATTGGCCGAATATTACTAATTTACCGTATTTGATTGACAGGTTATAAGGTTTGTTTCTGAAAAGAGCCTAGCGGTCAAAAGGACGCTAGAAGTAGCTAAATATTTTTCTCGCTAAAAACAAATTTTTACCCGCTAAACATGCATAAAGTCCCCTAGATCTACCGACAAAGGTGCTAGAACGGCCACCCTGGCTGCGACTACAACATTCATAATCCAGCATTACGCGGCGGACTGCAATGCAGGATAATGTATGCCCGCTTTTAGCCTGCCTTCGCCATCTTTGTGTTGTTCAGGACATCGTTTTCTTAAATAGTGGAATTTGTTTTCTAATTTTAAGTAAAAAAAAAATAAATTTACTAGTTAAGGCTCGCCGCTGCCCCCATTGCTGTGCCGCCCGCGGCCATAGCTGCCTCTGCACCCCTCACGCTACGCTACTATCAGTGGTTGCTACAATCTTTTTATGTACATATAGGTAGTCTTTTTAGCAGTTTACTTTTAGATTGAAATTCTAAATTTAAATGTACTTTTTTTCCGGATTTAAATGTACTTGTTTTTGGCCTTTTTCTTTGTTATTATCATTGTTGGTTCTTAGCTGTGTACAATTGTTGGTTAAGTAAACTGTAAGTAAGTATATTTATTTCCTTTGGTTTTGCCCACTCTTCAGTAGCAACACCCGAACCCCATTGACACAATCCGCTACATCTTCATTTAGTCGGTTCTGTTTCTGCTCTCATTATGACAATGAGAGCAGAACCTACACTAAGTAACTATACTAACTAGCTACAGTTCGCTGCAATTTCATTTGTTTTTCGGCATTTTTTCACTCGTTTTTTACCTTTATTATTTCCCTTTAAGAAATATAGATAAAAGTATATTGTTTTTCGTTTTTGCAACCTTATGTTGTTTTGAGGTACCATAGTACGAATGGGGCTTAACGCTATGTATCCACGTTCGGGGGATTCTGATGAACTACTGACTTCACAAGGATCCCCTGGGGGATTGGGCTAGGGGATCCTGGCAGACGAATGGAACTGGTTCCCACTCTGTACTCTCGTTTTCCGTCCGACATATGCCCGAAACAATTACTGTCAAATAAGTAATACTCAACCAATTAAAAGACGCAAGATGCTAATGAAGCTTCGTACTTGACCATAGATTCAGTATATAGGTACCTATATACTAAATCTTATGTACTTGACACTGTCCTTCAGTATATATATATATATATATATATATATACTAAATCTATGTGTCGGACGGAGAACGGAAGTAGGCCCTCAGGTCTGGGGTTCTGAGAAGCACCCCAGAGTTTTAGTTTGCTAAAATGTCAATTATGCTGATTTTGCTTAACGATAAAAGTGAAATTAATTATAAAAATATATATATCACTTCCGACCGTGTTCGGTCATGGCGATCACTTTGACTACTTTAGTTGGTTGGCGTTGATGCGCTCAAAGAAGATTAATGTAGCCAATCTTCGCGGTAAACCCTCGAGCACGTAGAGATTGAGATCAGTGAGAAATAGATAGAGGCGATGTCCTGCCGATACATGGTCAGGAGACACTGGTGATTAAGCTTGGTGAGGATCGGTTTGAGGCAGGTGCATAAATTTCGCTATTTGGGGAGCACCGTAACATTCAAGAGTGACCTTGATGCAGATATTAACAATAGGATCGGTGCTGCAGCTGCGATATTTGGCAAACTGAAACTAATAAGATATAAAAAAAACCGCTTGTAGTGTACATCTCGTTTTGCTGATTTTAGATAATGTTAATAACTCAATTTCGTTAAAAATGTTGATTATGTAAGGAGTATTATAGTAAGGAGAGCAGAGTTCGCAACTAGATTTAATTAGTCCGTCCCGTTCAAAAGTTATAGGGGTGTTTTACTGTCCACGCTAGAATAAGCTTACTCCAGTAGCACCATTCTTCGATCTCTAGAATCAGAGTACTTATTTAGATCTGATAACACTAACAAGTCGTGATTTAGTCGGTTCTAGTTCTAGTTATTTCGAAGCCCATATAAATATTTTGCATATCAGTCTTTAACTTTTCCTAAATACATGGTATTTAAAGGTTTTGGTAACGTGCTAAATTTTCGAATATAATATCGATCGAACTCCACTTTGCAAATTCGTTTTCAATACACGAAAACGCAAAAAGCGACGCGATATAGTCACACATCTTAATTTACAGTGATCTTAAAATTGCAATATGTACTTACCCCCAAAAGCAATATGTATTTGTTCAGGTTGACAATAAGAGCACTCGTATTCGGTTTCTACGCCAATAACGTTTGTTTGATAGACTTCAATTACTATTAGACTGATTAAAGTGATTAGGTAAATCATTTCGTTCGTGAGTTCGTGCGGTCATGTCATTTAGGTTATGGGCCAAGACGTGGAGTTGCCTTCTTTCAATCCTCTTCCTCCTTCAGCCTCTTTTGGGCATTTAACACAAGATTTCAGTTTCTCTTGTTTTAATTCTCAAGTAAAACGACGGCTAAGCCCGATTGGTACGGTATCAAGTGTTATGTAAATTATTGGTCTTATTCAATAGACAATAGGCTATTCGATGATAATAATGACAATCAAGTGTCAACAACTGTTATAGTACAGTCAGCATCAAAACTATCCGAGAAGTCTTAACTAGCCAAAAAATATGTCTCACATATAACCTCGAGATGTATATAATACTTAGATAATTTTTATGTCGACTGTATCTAGGACATTTCGGAATGAAAGACTATTGTTAGAGAACAAAGTCATTTCATTTAAAAGCGATGCAGCATAAAACGCGAAGCAAAACAGAAATCTTTCGCTTTGCTTTACTCCTAAGAAACTTGTGAGCAGTTGGTGCATTAACATGTATAGAAGCATCGGGACATTGAAATTTTCAAATATTTTGCAAAAATAATTATTCATATCTGTGATTCATATGTTTCATTAGTAAAAGTAATAAAATTTGATATTCGACCTTAATTACGCTACGCCTGTACATATTACTGCACATGATTGTACTACGGTATTGCTAGGAAAATGCAACTTGACGAATGTAAACGTAAATACTTAAGTAACCGGACGTAATCATTATTATAGTCCACAGGTTCACAAAATGTAAAATTTAAGTTTAATATTATGTTAATGATAATAATGATTATTAATGCCAACATATTGGATTTTAGCTGGACACCATTGAAATAAGTATTTTTAAATAATGAAATAATTTGTTTATATTGTGTATGTGTCGTTTATACTGACCTCAGAAACCACTCTTGTAGGTGTTTAGAAGAAAAAAAAAACAACAATTTAAAAAAAGGATTCTAGAAAAATGCATTAAAAAAATAATAAACACATTGATAAATGTCTTCGCTTACTAATAAAATAGATTGTATTCACTAAATCTATTGAAACATCTTTTACACTAACAGTAAAAGCGTAACAAAACAAGGCAATTGTGTCTCAGTGGGTGTCTAGAACTACTTCCTTCGCATCAGATTCATCTAATTGTATTTCTGCGGCCTTAGTGCCTTTGTCATTTTGTACTTTCACTTTTTTGTCACTTTTTTCTTCGACGTCGTCGTCGTCGTCACTGTCCACTCCATTGTTCACATCCAGATTGCTGTCTAAGTACTTAATTGTCTCCGCAATTTTAGCTGCCATGTCGATCTCTGAGGGCCTCGTGTAGGGTCTCAGAAGGGCCATAAACCACCCTTGCATTACCGAAATGAAAAACTTCCCAAAATCTTTGAAGGCGTCCACTTCGCCCTCAGAAAGTTTGATAGCCACTACTGCTCTTTTGGGATTGTGTGCGTACGTCACTGTCATTTGGAATTGCATGTTGTAAGTTATCTTTTCCGATTTGATGATCTCTTCTGTAATCTTGGCTTGCTTCTCCTGAAGTTCCAAGTTGGCGCACATTTCGTATTTTCGCGACGATTGCTTCCGCTTCCATATGGATTTCGTCACAATACCCAAGTACTTTTCCTTCTCCTTCTTTGACTCCGTGTTCAGTTTCTCTTCGACTTTGCCGAGCGTTAGCTTGAGCATTTTCTCAAATATTATGAATATGACTTCTCTGACCACTGTCTTCCAATCGGGATTGATGATGTTAGCGATCATTCTCGGGAACAGATTTACTCTGAACTCTGGATGTGCTTTCGCTCGAACAATCTTCGGTTTCTGAAGAAGAATTGTCCCCAGAAAATTCTGGCACTTGTTTGGTTTTTCTTTTTCATATGTGTTCGCGGCGAATCTCAGGAAATCTTTGATTTCAGAAGCCATTCGGCTGGAAACAGCAGACGCCACGTTGTGACTCTGCTCGAAAGGGTCCTGGACACACATCGGGGTCAGGAACCTCATCGGCATCACCAGGTTGCGCGCGACATTTTGTTTGTAGCGTTCGAACGGCGGTGGCAACTGCAACAAGTCCTTGAACAAGTCCTTTCTTAGGGGAAACCCTATAAAGGGGCAGATAATCATCTCCTCAAAATTAAACATGGAGTAGTACTCGAAGAAGCCTCCCAAAAGTTCCGAGATCGACAAACTGTTCGTGGACTGCGGGAGCAGAGACCTGTGCGCCATGAAACCCGTGTTCCAGAAGTCGACTATGACATCGTTGGCTCGGTCGCGCTGCAGCCACTCCACGGAGGGTAAGATCGATACCGGAGGTTGCTGGAGGTAGAAGATGATCATCATGGTGAGGGCGTAGTTGGTGAGTTTCCCCGTTCCGGAAAGACCGTGGACCTTGGCCCAATATTTAATCGCCACAGCCATAGGTATGAGCCGAGGGTCCGATTGGAGCAGGAAAGCGATGAGCTTGCTGTTCTGGTGGCCGAGGGGGGTCTTGAAGCTGAGATCGCAGTTGGTATCGGTGGGCACGTGGAAGAACTTGATGAGTGGCGTGTTGGCGCGGGGGATGGTGAGGATCTCGGTGAAGAGCTGCGGGTAGGCCTGCAGCGCGCGCTTGGCCTTCCCTATGCAGCCGGGCCCGCTGGCAGGCGGCACGAGCACGAAGCAGTCCGCGTCGCTGCTCTTGATGCCCAGCCCCGTGGTAATGGACCCGAACGGCATCGCCACGCAGCCTGCGGCGCAACCACGCGACATAGCCATTATATTATCGCCAATGGTCGGAGTAGGGTTTTCCAAATGCGTAGATAAATGTTTTCTACATGATATAGGTACAAAGAGTGAAATAGAGTGGTTAAAACCACTAAGTATTAATTAATTACTTTCTTCGAATTCCGGATTTCAGGTAATACTTACACTGTAAGATAAAATTAATTGCCTAGGAAGCTGAAGTTTGATTTTAAAACAATTCTAGTGGCGCTATTTAAAAAATGTAGTAGATAACTAACCTTTCACCAAAGTAAACATTTTTATGAGCTACAAGCAAAAATCCAACTTCATTTTTTTACGTGAATAGTTTTATCTAAAATGCAGTAAAACCGGAAATCCGGAATTCGAAAAAGTTTTTGAGAAAAAATGTAATGAATATTTGGTGATTGTTACCACTCCTTGCATTGACTTACAAATAAATGGACGTCGGGTCCGCGCTAAAAAGTGTCCGAACTTACAGGGCGTTAAATTTGTATACAGAGGCGTCAATCACGCTTTAGTCTTCGTTTGTTCGACTGACAGCGCGCTTGTCAATGATGCCGTATTGTGTAGTAAAACCTTGTAAAAATTACTCAACTAAAGTGAAAAAACAGGGTGGTATATCATATTTTCAGTAAGTACTACATTGTGTTATCATAGTTATCATTTAAAAGTGTTATTTTATGCACTAGTATATATAGTATTTATTTATATTTAAATTAATCGTAAATATAAATTACAAAATCAATCAAAATAATCAAATAGCTAACTGTCTCTTTCCGACTCATTGATTGCGTAAAAGACTGAACGAGACCCATCACGTCAATTTCAATTGTTTGAAACACAAGCGTTTGAAATATTTAGAACAAAAATGTCATAGAGTCGCTTTGATGCTAATGTTATTATTAAAATATTTTTTAATACATGTTAGTAATACTTTCAAATATTGTTGTACTCTTTCTACGGCTCGGGGTTACGAAACCGAAAATACATTTGCCCGAAATAACGTTTGCATGAATTTCCATAATCCCGAAAGTATTATTTTTAGATTTTTCGGGAGAAATATGTGTATGGCCTACATTTATTTCTCTCGTGAGTTTGGGTGTAATTTGTGGTTGTCTATATGTGTGTCCATGGCCTTGGTCCAATGTTGAGTGTGTGCGGTATTATAATTATTATTATTAATTAGTACCTAAGTGTTTATTTTGGAAAGCGTTTCTCTTGCGCAATCAATATCGCGCATTTTAATTTTGTAATTATCTCACAGCGGCAAATACCCTACTACCGTCATAGCCGTACTTTTTCATGCACAAGAAACATTTGCAAGAACTATGAGCAGTACGACTATGCCTGTTGATGGAATCAACCAACGTCAGTGATAAACCGTAATACTTATATTGAATCTATGTAAGCACTACGGCATATAGAAAAGTGGTGACGTTTTTGAGCGCAATATAATTTCAGTACTATGCACGAACGGGTTAAGAAAATGGTAAGAAAAGAAAGGAAAGGAAACCAGAGCTAATGCAAGCTTGATAAAAGACCATAATATTAAAGCTTTGGTATGTGATTACATCAATAAGTGAACAAAAACACTGCATAATAATACAAATAGTACAACCTTGATAGCATAACGGTTTGCACTGTGGGCACTGGATGAGAAGTTCCCGGGTTCGATACCGGTAGGATCAATTTAACAAATTAACTTTTCTAAATGGTTCTGGTCTTGGTATTCTATTGTAACACAATCACCTGGTCTGAAACTAGGGAACTCTCTGTACATACTCCCCATGAGTATCAGAGCAAACAGAATCCCAAAGCAGAACCAATTTACAAAAGTTCCTTTCCCAAATTGGTTCTACTGGAAATCGAACCTGGGACCAAGGACGATGGAATTTATTCCGGGGCATAACTCAGAACACCCAAGCCAAAACAACTTTCGAGAAGTTCACATTTAGTTTTATAGTTGATTGAGCTGATTTTTTACGGTTTTCAAAAAAATTCTCGAATAACTCGAGAAATTTGGTACGAGAATCCTCGAAACTCAAGAAAAAAAAGTCAGACACCCTAGCTCGTAATAAATGGCATTGCATAAAATTCAACATTTACGTATAAAATTTATTTATAAATAATAAAGGCTACTCCATTATACCTGTGTTGAAGTAGTTTTCACTAGAAGCTACATATGGTGCATTTTGGTAAGTTTCCAGTAGAAGCTGAATATGGTGTTTTTTGCGCCTTTCAATTGTTGCAAGCAAAATTAGGCAGTACTGTAATGACATTACAATTTAAATTCAACGTTTTAGCTTTTCATATTCCTTTACATGTCACTACGTTTAAATAGGTTGACTTGGGACATTTTTTTCGTGGTTTTTGTATTAGACCCGTCGTTCATTTATTTGTAAGTCAATGACTCCTTGTCACGCTTTGCATCTATACTTATCTACTTATTTGGAACACTCTGTTCCGACCATTGATATCACTGATATTTTCAAGCTCACGAGTCCGCAATGGCCTGAAACCTCACCTGGCCAGACAGCTTGCAGCACCCTCTCGACGTCGGCGTAGAGGCTACTAATAGCCGTGGCCTCTTCTTGCGTGAGCCGAATGGTGGCCAAGATCGTGTCCAACTGCTGGTGGAAGTCGCCCGAGAGATTGATTTGGAACGGATCCACTATTATACCTGGAATAGTGTAATTTAAATTTAATTTCTTGTATTTATACAATTTAAATTTAAAATTTTACCTATTGTCAACTAATGAGTGTTTTTGATAAAGTCAAACTTTCAATTTTGACTGAATTTAATTATGTACATAAATTATGTGAATTATGAATACCAGAGACCAAAAAATGTAAGAATTAAAGAAACCAAAATATATCTACTCCCTAAAACAAATAATGTATATGGTACTCGAAAATTAGATTATATAATTCCTAAATTACTAAATTAATTGCCTGCGTGCATTCAAGACCTAAATGTGGAGGGAAAATGTAAAAATAAACTAAGGAAATATTTGTTAGAGCGAATCGCTGTGGACGGATAAACCCGTAGTGGTTTTTTGAGCTACAGCTGCATGCATGTAATAAATCATCGTAAAATGTTATAAATATATAAAAAAAATAAAAAAAATTACGATTTTTGGGTGATTTCCTTTATTAAGTAAAGTCTAAATATAGTTAGTACAAATACATTTTAATAAAATTTTGTATGATGTTCGCCATAGTTAAGATTGCTTGGCATATAGCTATTATGCATAAAAGAGTGGCTTCCCTAGTACATAGAGTTCGTGGCAGCAGTGGTCTCGAACCTACCGATTTTTCGGTATTTCTACCGATATGGGCTCTGTTCTACCGAAATA